GAGATAGATAGATAGATAGATAGATAGACAGACAGACAGACAGACAGATAGATGATAGATAGATAGATGATAGATAGATAGATAGATAGATAGATGAATACAACTGAATAACAAAAAGTAATTGCTACATAGGCCTACACAATACACAATTGTACACATAAATATTTTTAAGGGTGATTTTGTTCACAAACAGATTGTATCGGTTTATTTATGTATGTATTTATTTATTTGTGATGAGAGCATAAGGTGCAGTAGTGGTGAACAGGGGGTGGTCCTGCTCCTCTACACTTAAACACTTGTCCTGTAGGTGTAGCCCGTCTGGTTAGGCGCTCTTACGGGCAACTTCTCGCGGAGCTGTTTCCAGCACGGAGGTCTACAGGCCAGAAACCAGACCGCGGAGCCGAGCGAGAAGAGGTTAGGTTGGACTGAAGTGAACTTCAGCGGACACATGAGAGTATTCGCGTGAGTCCCGACACTCCACCGCCGCAGACATGTTCACGCGCGGCGCGAAGAAGCGACGCTCCAGTCGCTCGGTAAGTTGCTCTCATGTCGTGGCATCCCGCTTTTATCACAATCTGAAGGCATTTGATCCTTTACTAAAGTCTGTCCTCGGTTCTTTGAACGAACACAGCATGGTTTGAAGTTTTAAAGGCCATTTTAAACCTATCATGTTGTGTTGATGATCGAAAGTTACTTTTGTGTCTCGCACTTATTTTACCTGAGGAGACTGTTTTCATCTCAAGTTAAAGGCACGGAAGAGACATATTAAAACGTACACTCCTATATTTAATTTTACTCGTATCAGTAGTGCGTTTTGGGTGCAACACGTATACTTGGCAATCATTATTTACTCCTAACCATTAATGGGGCATTTTTCGTGGTCTTGATAACTATTGTATTGAGGAGGCGTGGCTTATGTGTGCCTACGTCACCCTTACCTGTACGGATGACGCCATCGTTTATTGATAGCATTTCATATTAAATATATAAATGAGTATTAAAGATTATTATAATGTCGATTTGTTACACTGAATTCATTTTACAAAACAAAAGAAAAAAAGAAATTATATGCATAGTTTATATCTAAAATAAAAAAATAAGGTTTAATGCAAAATAATTACTTTTAGTTAAAGTACAAACCGAAAGGAATATGACCATTAAAAAAAAAAAAATCAACATAAATAGCTTTTTTTTTCATTCAAAAAGTTTTCATTTATACTTTTAGTCCTGAAATGCACAGTACATCTGCATGCTTCATACTATGTTTCGCCTTGTATGTATTTTCCTTCCTGAAGGAAGTGCTTTCTATTGAGGAAATGTTCCTCAAATATCTGGAAAGGGAAGCCAGGGATGCAAGTGGACAAAAAGTAAACACAATTTAAACATCAGGACATGGTTATATTCACTAAAGATGTGAATTGGATTAGATTATTTTGAATGGATTAGAAACTCTTTGTTTCCTGAAGCGACTCTATGTAATGTGTTGATTCAGATGTTTACCAGATGGTCTTAATCTTGTAGTCATGAGTATAAAAATGAAATGAATGGAGATCATTTGATATTGTCCTTTTAATTTTGACCAGGAGTCACAGGCCAGTGTCTTGACATATGAGAACAGACAGGTGACCCTTTGACATTCAGATTTTGTATGTGCCATACTAACTATTATCCAGAAAGTCCTACTGTGCTACTGTAACTCAGCACGAGTAAACAATGATGGTGGGCCTCATAAAACTTTTAAAAAGTGTTTTTGAGCTTCTGACCTCTCATAACTGTTGTCATGGTCACAATCGAGAGGAGATTTCCCCTGAGGGTGTGGACAGGAAGACACCCGAGGGCATCCTGTCTCACCGTCACAGACGGGACACAAAGGTGGCTCGGACACCAGTTTTCTACATAAAACCTTCGAGTCATAAATTCATTTGTTTATGCTCTTTCACACTATCTTTACTATGCAGACATATCCACACAGTAATCTGCACAATAACCGATGAGAGATAACTCTGCTAATATGACCACTGCTTATCAAGTAAAATGAAAGTAGTTTTTGTACTTTTTGTTGCCTTCCTTACTTGCTTTACTCTTTAAATTTTTTACATTCTGTACATCCTTTACTTGCATTTTTATTTACATTACTTTCTGGACCTTTTTTGTCATTTAGGCCTACTTTACTTACTAGAGCGCGAACGATATGGTTTTTTTGGGGCCGATACCGATATTTGGGAGTAAAAAAAAAGCAGATACCGATATATCGGCCGATATTCTTTGTGTATATTATAGTAATCATGTGAATTCACTTCGCAGGGCACTTACGGTCGAATAAGATGACGCTTAAATGCTGCTGCCTGAACAAGAGACCTCCTTACTGAAGTGAAAGTGTTGACTGGTGTCACTATCTCACGAACGCG